CCATGCTGATACTTAGAAGCCAATCTCGTTGTTCACAATCAGATTGTAGTAACTACCTGAATTTCCAAAGCATCTAATGGTAATGTCTGATTGATTCAGGGGTCTGGTTCCCGGGTCGAACGGTCAGACCAATCGAACTGAACGGACAGCCCATTCTGACAAAAAAATAAAAAAAATTGCCAAAACCGTTGAACAGTTTGAACGGTTTGACCGCCCGGATCACCGGATTGCTGACCAAATTGATGGTTTTTGGTGAAATAACAGTTCTGGGTCGGTCACCTGACTGGTTTCCGATTTTTCCGGTCTGACCATCCAGTCCAGTCTGGTTTTGAAAACCATAATTTGGGTCAACGAAATGGTTCAATGTAGAATCTTGGCTTGATGGATGGGAAAATAGAGGAATCTAGGATTAAAATTTTATGGGTAGGTATTTTATGATGTAGGTGCAAGTCAGGCAGGTTAGGCCGGATTTATGGTCAACCCGAGCCTGACCCTAAAATTTGGGCTTTAGGCCTAAGTCCAATGTCAAGCCCGATCTTCTCAACCTGGGCCCAGCCTGCACTGTAATTTGATGCATCGTGTTGGTCTCGGATTGGTCAATGAACCCTCTCTCTCTCTCTCTCTCTCTATATATATATATATATATATATATATATATATATATTGGTGAAGAGGTTAATGGTAAAGCACCTCCACCTCTGCAACACTAAGGTACACAGATTTCTTGTTGGCAACAGCCTCTAGGAAAGTCGAAGGATTAAAAGCTCCTGGTAAAATTGACGAAACCAATTTTCCATTTCCTGATGAACCTGTAATACCATGGAGATTCACATGGACTGCTGTTATGTGCCTTGGGAGAACTCACCCCTAAAAGAAAGCTGTTAGAGGGAGGGAACCCAAGCACATATATACCCCACAACAGCATCTCATACTACCGATGTAGGATACCTCACATTACCAACATGGGACAAATGGATCGTAACAACTGCGCTAGCAAGATCATCGTGGAAAGGATTTTTTATCAGTAGTAGTAAGATCTTTATTTCAAAGGAATCCTCTTCATAATAGGACATCTGATGTTGAAACAACTCACAAATGGAGACTCATGTCAGTGTCAATCAAGTGGGAAGACTCAACGAGAGGATGAAAATCTTAAGACCAAGTCTGGTTAGAAGGTTTGTCGGGTTGGATCTGCAGGAAAGGAATGTGACTACTTGGGCTGAGTTCAAATGGGGCAAAGATAGGGTGTCAGGAGTTAGAAGGCTTAATGGGGGTTTGTTTTTATTTTTGTTTCACAGTAGGAAGGAGGCAGAATGGGTGTTGGAGTCTTAGGCTAAGAAATGCAGGGATTATGACTTACGTTTAAGCTGGTGGTTCCCAGTGGCAGGACTTGTTCAAGACAACAGAAGAAGGAGAGCAATGTGGATTGGAGTTCTGGGTATTCCTCTACATGCATGGAACATCTGCACTTTCATGATGATTGGGGATTCCAGTGGCAAATTTTTGAGTGTTGATGAAAGAACAAGAGTTGAAAGAAGATTGATGCCATAAGAATCTTGGTGGAGATGGACGCGATCTCTGATATCCCTAGCACCTTGGTCCTGACTTTTGCAGGGGAGAAATATTATCTGTGGATTTACATGGGGGAAGAGGATTGGACCTTTTTTAGGGCAAACATTGATGGTAGAGAAGGAAAAGGAGAGATAGAGATGTCCAAGAAAGGGATGGAGCTTTAGGTTCGCTGCCTTGGTGAACAGTGGAAGTCGAAAGGTTATTTGAAGGAGGAAGACAATGGAGGTTTGGGTAAGGGTAAATGGGTAATTTTGGGTGGGGATGAATCTTTCCATGCAAAACACGTGGAACAAACCAGTGGAAAAGATTTGGAAGGCTGCAATGTGAAGAGTAAAAGATTAATGGAAGATTTAATTGGCCCACAACCTTTGAGTGAAGCTATTGGCCCTAAGAAAGGGGACCACTTTCCAAGACCGAGATTAAGGAGTGGTATGAATGATGTTGAGCCCAGTTTTCTAAGGGCAACTAAAGGAAGAGGAGCTAAGTTTAAACAAAGAAGCAAAAAGAGAAGTATTAACAGGACCTGATGAGGCGAGACTGACAATTGGGTTTGGGTTATTACTAAGTACAAGAGGCTTAGAAAGAAGAACGTGAATGTCACCAGGTCTGATCAAGGGGCAAAGAAAAGCGGGAAGTTGGAGAAGGAAGGGAAAAATCTTGAGAAGCATTCAGGTACGACCATCTGTTTTGGGTCTTTTGTGGTGGAGATTCCCTCTGTTCTACTTCCGCCACAAGTGGTCAGGTTGGTTTCTTCTGATCAGGGTAAGGCAAGAATTGGAGGAGAAAAGGAAGGTAAGAAAGTAAGGTTAGGGGAAGAAGAGAGGGGAGATGTAAGAGGAACAGTGCACTAAGGGGAGGAAGGGAGGAGAGGTAGTTGAAGAAGGAGAAGTCAGGAATATAGAAGTCTGCAACCTAGAGTAGGAGGGTAAAGTTGCAGAGAGCAGCCTTTCTAACGCTAGCGATAACTTTTCAAGAATTGAGGTCCAAGTAGGCAGACTTGGAGTGGACTTAGGTCGAAGAAGGAGACAGGTAAGAAAAGAAAGGGATGAAGCTGTTTCAAGGTGGCAAAGAAAGCCAGAGATCAAAGTAAGTTCCAAATTGTTCGTGTCACAAAGGTTTTCTCAAGATTAAAGGATGGTTTAATTGATGCTGGTCCTACAAATAAGTTTAAGAAAGTCTATAAGAAAATAGGTCCTAGGGTCAGAGGCCTAAAGAAGAAGCTTGATGAGAACCGAAGAGTAGAGCCTCAAACTATAGAGGGGGGAGGATCTGCAACCATGTTTAGTTCCTGTGGATGGTGTGTGACCAGGTTGTAGTCGGAACAAAAGGAGGCTGAGGTTGATCAAGATCATAAGATGATTCTAATTGACTCTGTGTCTACCAGGGTGGAGGAGAAAGGAGGACGGAGATTGAGAGTTTGGCAGATATGGATGTGAGGATTGGAAAGAGTTTAGGCCTATTTTTTTTGGGTGGAGAGGAGTTTTCTAGAAGGCTTTTGAAGCGTTTGAAAGAAGCAAGAGAGGAGAACCTCAAGAACACCATTGTCAGTGAGGTGGAGAGGCATGGAATGAGGATGGGGATGGGGCAAGGAAAAGCTTTTGAAGTGGAATATTAAGCTTGTTGGGGCCTTCTATTGCTTCTGTTGTGTAATTGTTGTTCTGCTTTGTTGTTCTGTTGTTAGGGTGTTATCTTAACACCCAGTTGTTGCTTGTATTCTGTTCCTTTTTTCCTTTTAATGGATTTTATTTTTACCTTTCAAAAAGTATAAATAAGTGTTGGGTAGCTAACGCTATCTAGGGCTTGTGGGGGTGCTCGGCAAAAATAAAGTAATTATTGGCTGGATGAAAGTAAAAATGGAAAGACCATGGCACCTAAGACATCAGATCAGAAAAGCAAGACAGCTGGTCAACTCTACAGAAGAAGCTTATTGGACTTCCCAGCTTGCAAATTTCCTTGCAGATCTTTGGCTAGAGGAGTGAACAGAAAGTTATTGGTCCAGGGCAGGTACCGTCGAATTTAAACAGAAGGTCATTTTGGTTTTCAGATACTTTAGCTCTAATAGGAGCTGTGGGAGAGCATCGTTGGGTTGGCTCTCTGACTGAAATAAAGTGAAATAGAAAGTATATATAACATATCATGTACACTTTCTCATAATATCAATAAAGTTACCATCAATTACTGACAAAAATATCTTGGATCTTGGACAACTAGATCTGTAGTTGGGGTCTGGGACCCTCATAGCATGCCACCTTTTCAATATTCAGAAAACCATCATTGGATACTGATAAGAAAGAAAAGAAAAGAAAAGAAAAAAAAAAAAAAACCTACTATTAGATGGTTTCCACCATAGTTTTCAGGGCACCAAGGCAAAGCTAGGCAACAGGGGGTGCCTTGTCACCTAGCCGCCTAGGTGATGGATTTTTTTAAGTAAAAAACATGTACCCTAGGGTCCCTAGGTTCCATAACCATATTTCCTTATTAATTATCCATAATTTTCATAAGAAAATTATAAACTTCATGTTGAAATATAGAAAATCAACATATTCCAACATATTCATTACAAGAAAATGAAGAAAGAAAAGAATATTCAAAAATTATAGGGGATGAAACCATATTTCTGTTATAGGAAAAGAAGAAAAGAAAAGGTGGAAGAAGAAGAAGAAGGAAGAAGATATGGAAGAAGAAGAAGAAGAAGGAAGAAGATATGGAAGAAGAAAATGTGTTGACTAGACAACATTTAAGTTCTCCTTACTTATTGGTTCAGGTTTTGAAGTCTTTGAGGGTTCAATACAGCATATAGCAATGTTTGTGTTGATTAAACCCTAACAAATAAGAAAATAATAAAAAAGAAATTAGTATATAAACACACAAAATGAACATTTTAGTTTAATATTGTCTTATAGTTATGTCCACAAAAAAATAAGAATATAAATTTTTTTATAACACACTGAACAAAACTGCTTGGCGATTAGGCGAGGCGAGCCCCCAAGGGCGCCTTGTCACCTTGACAAGTATAGTTTCCACTTAAGAGAAAACCTGCAACAAAAACCAACATTCTGATGACTTTCAGCCATCTGATTCAAACATAGTTTTAAGTGCTCTAAATGAGTTTCAAATGAACTTTTCTCCATCATCGATATTTTCATTGAAACAAAGTATGGGGTCATATTTTAAGCTGATCTTACATCCAGGCAGTCTCCATCATGAGACTTATTGACTGGTATGCTCCAATCATTGCAGTGATATCGGTTCTTTGACCTATGACCCAAGATATTGCAGAAGTAAAATGTCAAATGAATGCTCCATTTGTTTTATTATCCAAACATTTGAAATTTGAAAACTATAGTTCATACCAAAAGAAAACAATTACCTTTTGACCCATGTATTATTGCTTCACCAGCTGAAAACTTAATGGATTCTTCTCATAATGATGGGGATCAAATAAACATAAATCTTATTGATATGAAAGAATGGCCAAGAACTAATGCATTTATATATGGTGCAATATGACAGGTGGCCTCACATCAAATTTAACATAATGAACAGGAAAATATTTCAGATATTAGTAGATACAGGATAGATAACTAGATGTGATATCTTACACATAGTAGCACAATCCCAAGAGAGGTCCTTTATGAATCTTGTCAATGAACTTTTACACAACATGAATTATCAGAGAGTGAGCTGCTCCATATCCTTTCTGTTTCTCCATGACTTGGCATACCCTGGCTTTCTATCTTCCTGATCATCAAATGAGTTTGCCCTGAAACAAGAACTTGCTTCTTCATTGTCAGAAGAGCCTGGCCTTTCAGTCAAAAACTGTTCCCAGAATAAATCATTGACCCGACCCTGGGGAACTGCAGGTCCTTGACTATTAACTGGGGCCTCTTGTGAAGAAGCAGTCACATCATCATTAGAATAATCTCTGTCCTTTGAGACAACTTTAGCATCAGTTTCTTTACCATTGACAATTGACCTCAGTGCACTGGAAGCATTAGCATCCTGGTCCAACTGAGAAACTCTAGCAGAACAATTGCTGCCACTTTCTTGCAGTGCAGAAGATGCAAGTGTTAGATTTAAATGGCACGAGATATGACCATCACCTTCCTCAGTAGAAGTTATACCATGCTGCACGGAATGAAACCTTGAGCTTTCATTTTCTCTCACTTGCCCCAGCATGGGAGCATCCTTTTTCAATGCAAAAGATGTTCCAGTATCAGAAAGCTCTAATCTTTCCGGTGAAAATGAAAGAACTTCTGTTCTGATGCGTCCATCCCTCATGTCACATTCAGATGTTTTCCTCTGTGGACTCCTCCCATCTTCATTGGAACTTTGTGTACTTTGGGAAACCAAATTACTATCTGAAACAGCTGGTGAGAGCTCAAGTTTTAGCTTATTGGAGAAATCCTGGTGAAAAATATGCCCAAATTCAGACTTTGAGTTACTGCTATGGTCATCCATAAGGCTGTCATCTAAAATTTCATGAGAGTAATCAGCAATTGGTATTCGTCTTTTCTTAGTAATTGCTTCAATATCCATACATGATCCAACCATTTGAATAAGATTCTCTACAAAAGTAGGGTTCTGAACTGCCTTGGCCAAGAAGTTCATCATCCTCAGCTGTCTCTGACCCATTTCATGTACCCTGCGCTCTAAATCTTCCAATTGGACCTTTGTCACTGACTGCTGCTGTTTAAATGTGCAGAGGGTATTGTGAAGAGCATCTTTCTCTTGTGAGAGCCTACCAATTTCTTCCTCCAGTGCTGCTCTTTCTGAATCTCCTGAAGAGCCCTGAGGCTGACTATGGCTATGTATAGGCTTCCTGCGGTGGATGTTCTTAAGCAAATGCTTCTGATCCTTTGCAAAATCATCATTGGCAAACTCCCATCTCTCTGGGTCAATCTTTCGAAATCCCTGTAAAGAAGTAAAACCACGATGTTCTCAAATCAACATTAATGATTCATTCCAATTCTGAATTTACTTTCCCAAGATCAAATGCCAGATCAAAACCCAGCATATATACTCATAAAAATACCCAAATCTAACTTAACTATCAAATCCACATCCCATTCAGTCACCAAGCAAGTTACATAAAACTAACAGAAGTGTACAGAAATTTAACTTGATCTGTACAAGTGTCAATTAATACACCACAAGATCTAATTCAAACAACCAAGAGATTAAACCTTGAAAAGAAAATTCCTCAGAGGTTTACTGCAATAAAAGAACAAATCCGGCATGGACTACTGGCAAAATTCCAATTAAAATAGTTCCAACTATCAATTCAAATCTCAATTGCTCCCAAGTCAAAATTCCAATTAAAGCCAAAACACGATATTCAGCTCCAACTCAGAAGCAACAAGTGCTACTGGAAGCAGAGACAGATGCTCAAAAAGAATTACACTACTTTCTCGAAAGCTTACATAGGTGTTGAGTTGCCTGATGAAGCTGGAGAAGTTGTTGTGCTTGAAATAAGTAGGGAGGAGGAGACGAGCAAACTCCGGCGGATTCCAGACGACGAAGCTATTCTTTTTGGAGCTCCAGGAGACGATTTCGTCGGTGGAAGAGTCATCGACCATGTCGTAGGTTTTCAGAAGGAACGGCGCCGGACCTCCACTGGTGCTGCCACCACTGCCAGCCTGTCCTCCTTCCATCGTCTAGGGTTTCGTTCGTTTCAGCTTTCTCTGCGAATCGATCCACTTCTGATTTCTGAACCCTAATTCTGATTGGAAGGTCAGCGTTATCGTGCCTGAGGTTGGTGGGCAAAGAGAGAGAATCCAGGCATTGAACCAACGACGACTTCTGTTGAGTCAATTGACACAAGATAGATTGATCTTCGCGGAGCGGAAGGGACTACTTCGCCATCTTTGCATTAATCTAGGTTTGACATGAAACGCGTCAACATAGAAGGAAGAGCTTACACGTAACGAGAAGTCAAGAACCGGAAGGCCACCTGCACCACACGGTCCACACCTACACCTACTAGTAAAACACGGTGTAAAGAAATAAGTTGAATCCCGCCGCGTGAATTCACAAGGCCACGTGGCATCTATTTAAACAACTGTATGCAACTTGACCGGACCAAATCCAAACTCCGACTGACCAATTCTAATTTTACACAGGTTGAGCTAAAAATTTCCAGTTATCAGTATCTAGGCTCAAAAGATTAATTTTTTAAATTGGACATAATAATAAAATTTTATAAACTATCATTGTGGTTTAGCTAATTGACTAATTCTATTAATATAAAACAAAATGTCGAATTTTTACTCCATTATTCCTCAAATCTTCAAAATAAAATCCAACCAATAAAATCTTTAGCATATACAGAAATTGCAGGATGCAAAATAGAAGCTATGTTTTTATCTAGGTATGCAGATTTGAACCAACTAGAGCACTATAAAGTGACTGAATTGCAGGGAGAAGAATAGGAGCCGATGAGGGGATAGTGGTGAAGACCTTGTCACCTACCGCAATGCCGGTTATAAGAGTTTCGGGGTAAAATGCCACCTACTGCGAGCCATTGGCGAGAAGCCGATTGTTGGGCACACCAATGGTGACATAGATCTTGGTGCAAGTGAGAGCTCAAAGAATGAGAGTCGACGACCCAAGATCATCCTCGGATCTTGTTGCCCTACAGGCCAAAATGCAAGAGCAAGCGGCGAGTTCTATCGCATCAAATTATCTGCCTTCAATAGCGAGAGATCTTCCAACTTTGATCTTCAATTGGAAATCAAAAAGGTATGACTTTTAAGACTTTGTTTGCAAAACGATTGCAGTAATCGTTCAAAAGTGTTTCCTAGTTCCTCTTCATTTGATTTCTCTAATGAGTTTGCCTAATTATCTAATTTAATCATTTGGGTATGTTCTTATCACCGGAAATGGTGATGGTTTTAACGAATTCTCCGACAAAAAAAAAAAAAAAAAACATTCTACTTCTTCTTCGTCGACATCATAGAGGCAAATGTGGGCGATCTTGTATGGAACAAAACTAGGGTCGTCAAAGATAAGAGAGAGGGGGAGAGAGAGAGAGAGAGAAGCACAACGAGGGACATAGAGGAGAAGAACAAGATTTCCCATCATTTCTCCCTCCCAATCTCCTTCGCCTCTACAACTTGAACGAGAGGTACTCCCTCTTCAAAAGAAACCGTAAAGGCCTGTTCATTTGCTCTGAAGTCTGACATCTCAAAGTGTAATAATTACATTAAGAGGTATATTAGTATTGGTGAACTTTTCTTTCCTCTTAACTCTGAATGCAGAGATGTTGTTCTGAATTTTGAATTCTAAAAATTATCAAATATCCATTTTGACCCCATATATGAGAGTTTTTGTTTGTCTTTTTGGATGTATCATTGAAAAACAAAAAGTTGTATGATTGCACTTTAAGAGATAAGAGATAAGAGGAAACGAACAACCATTTTTCTCTTAAAGTTCAGATTTCCTCTTAAGAGATAAGAATTAAGAGGAAACGAGCAAGCCCTAAATTTCTACAGACGTTGTCCTCTACCGCAAGCCAGTGCTAGAAGAAGAGGAAGCAAGATTTGAGAATCTCAGTGTTGTTGAAATGAAACTAGAGTAGCACGTTGAAATCGATGTTTGTGATGAAGATGATGACGATGATGACAATGCTTGTGGCATCTCATTTTTCCTCTAACGTTTTCCACTTTCCTCCATTAAAGTGGTTCAACCTCACAACTTTTCTTGATGGCCCTTCTCAGAAAAACCCAAAACAGTTTAATGGGTCCTCCAAAAAACCAACTTTTCTCAGTGGTCCTTCTTAGGCAAAATCTCCCCGAGATGAAGAAATTTCATGAGCAAAATCTCCCCACACCTAAAACACCACCACCACTATCTAGTATTACTTTGAGCTCATGTCAACCCTAAAATGGAATGGAAAAGACCACTAGATGAAGGAGAAGAACAAAGTTGGGGTGCTCCTTTTCACTGACTATGGGCTCTAGAAAGGGAAAACCAAAAAGGGCATTTTCAACCAAAAAAGGGTAAGTTAGGGATTTTTGAAAAAAAATAACAGTCATGTGATGTCACATGTGAATGGGACAATTGTTAGAAACAATAAGGGCGGTGCAAGACAATAGTTAAACTGTAAAGGTATAGTTAGTCGATTAGCTAAATAGAAGGGGTAGTTTAAGAAATTTTCCCTATTATATGCATGCATATATACATAGTTTTTTGGATAAAGCTATATGTGGACCAGAAGGCTGAATGGGTTAATGAGAAATTGACAAAATTAAAAGAGGAGCATGATACAATGGAAAAAACGTACCATGATAGAACAAGTAGAAAAGTTGAGGATTAAATGGATGAATCAACAAGAATCTTTATGGATGCAAAGATCAAAACAATTGTGGTTAAAGTGTGGTGATTCAAATACTATTTTTTTTCCACAAAGTAACCTTATTTAGGAGGTATAGGAACACAATCTCTTGGATTAGGGATGCACAAGGAGAAGGGGTTTCTGGTCATGAAGAAATTTCAAGGAATTTTGTGCAATATTTCAAGTCCTTGTTTCAATCTTAAAGATCAGAGGTTTTTGAAGGATTTCAACAATTGTTTGATTCTATTATAATTGAAAGTAAAAATGAAGCCTTAGTTGCTTTGCCTTCTAAAGAAGAAGTCAGAGGGGTTGTTATGTCACTAGGTGCCTTTAAGTTCCTGGGCCAGATGGAATACCTGCTCTTGTGTATCATTGATTATGGGGTTTGATGGGTGAGGATTTGTATGAGTTTGTTTGTGATTTCTTTATAAACAAAATGTTCCCTAGCAGAATTAATCATATGTTTCTTACTTTGATACCTAAGCATAATAATCCTTCTAAGGTTCAAGATTTCAAGCCAATAAGTCTATGTAATGTGTTCTATAAAATTATAACTAAATTGTTCGCAAACAGACTTAAACCACTTTTGGAAACGTATTTCCCCTTTTCAATCTGCTTTTGTTTCAAGCAAGTTAATACATGATAACATTATTATAGCTTAGGAACTAATCCACTTTATGAAAAATAAAAAGAAAAAAAGAAAAAAACTGGGAGAGGATTAATGGCAATAAAACTTGATATTTCTAAAGCCTATGATTCCATTGAATGAGATTATTTAATGTGTATTTTGAAATCATTAGGGTTCTCAGAAAAGTGGTGTGAGCTAATATGGGTTTGTTTATCCTCTTTAAGAATTTCTGTGCTAGTTAATGGTTCCCCAAAAGGTTTCTTTAAGGGGTATTTAGCAGGGTGATCCCATATCCCCTTACTTATTTGTTTTGGGAATGGAAGGTTTTTCTCGATTGATTGCAAAGGCCAATGATCAAGATAGATATCAAGGGATCAACATTCATAGACATGCTCCCAGTATTTCCCATCTAGTATTTGCGGGTGGTGTTTTGTTGTTTGGTAAGGCAAATAGAGAGGAGCAACTAATTTTATAGAAGTGTTGAAAGATTTCCAAAGAATTTTTGGTTTAGAAATAAATTTTCAAAAATCTAGGATTTGGTTTAGTAAAATACCCTCCCCCAAAAGTGCTAAAATGATTAGAAGACAAATGAAAATATATGAGCTTACAGAGGACTGTAAATACCTAGGAGTTCCCTTACTTTGGAAGAAACAAAAAGCAAAATCTTTACAGTATGTGTTAGATAGAATGATAGCAAAATTAACAAATTGGAATTCGTGGGTTTTGTCCTATGCTAGTAAAAAACTTTAGTGCAATCAATCTTGCAAATAGTCCTTGTGCATTATATGAGTGTGCTCCAATTTCCAAAAAAAAAATCCATAAATGAAATAGACAGAATTCAAAGGGGTTTTTAGTGGAATGAGGGTTCACAAAGAAAGGAGGTTAAATAGGCAAGTTGGGAGAAATTATGTGCTCCAAAAAAATTAGGTGGGTTAGGGTTTAGAAGAGCTGCAATACTGAACAAGGCTTTGATATATAAACTAGCTTGGAGATTTTTGAGTGATAATTAAGGGTGCAAGTCAGGCGGGTTGGACCGGGTTTATGGTTAACTCAAGCCTAACCCAAAAATTTTGGCTTAAGGCCCAGGCCCGGATTAAGCCCGATTTTCCCAACCCGAGCCAGCTCGTACTGTAATTTGATGAACTCGGGTTGGGCTTAGGCTTGGGCCAAGCTTGGGTTGGTCAATGAATGGTTTAATCGTGTTAGGTATGTGCAGATTAGGTTCGAGGAACATTGTAGTGCTATATGCGTCAAAATGGAATCTCTAATAGATGATTGTCTAGATCCAGGAATTTAGGGTTGAAATTTTGTGTGATTGGTCATTTAAGGATTTTGTTTCACGTGATGGAGTTTGATTGGGGATCAAGTATGGTGATGTGGCATAATCAAGACCATCGAAAGATAATCATGTAGATTTAACGGTGGATTTATGGGCATTTGGGCTAATATTTGGTTTCTTAGGGTTTTGGCATGTTTTAAAGTGACTGGCATGGTTTGTTTAGACATCCGAAATATAAGAGATGGGTCAAAGAAGGGATCGAGCAAAAATCGAGTGCTAGCAGTTGCCTCTCTTTGTTAGAGGTAGCGAGCTTCTAAACAACAAAGAAAAAGAAGCACCTATAGGTTTTTGTGAGGGACAAGAGGTTAGGGGAGGAAATTTTGTTGCTAGAATTTCAATCAAGGTCGAAGTTGATATAGTGCAATACCCTTACTAGGAAGTCGTAGTACCATCCCAGGCCTTAGTAGGCAAATACAACTATCACACAAACAATAAAGTGGTGTCATCCCTAAAGAAGTCATTGATTCTTTTATTTCTTCCTTTTTCTTTTTTTTTTTGTTAATAATTTTTATCTCTACTGACTGGCTTTAATAGTTTTGAATTTGACGATTTGAATACTTGTAACTTTGGGAATTTGGGAAACTGAATTTTGAATTTTGTCATTTAATGAATTTAGATATTTAATGAGTCTTAATCTTGATTTTTGGTGATTTGGATATTTGATGATTTAATTTATTTAATTCGATAAATTTGATAATTTCAGCTTTTGATATTTGGTGACCTTAATTTGATAATTTCAAGGTTTGTTTGATGAATTTAATAATTTTGATATTTTACGAATTTGATTTGATAACTTCGAACTTGATAACTTTGATATTTGATGATTTGATGATTTTTTTTATGAATTTTATATTTTAATAATTCAATTTTGATTTTTTGTTATTTGATAACTTAGACGAGTTTGATAACTTTGATATTTGATGATTTGACTTTGACTTTTGATATTTGATATTTGATGCTTTGATGAGTTTGATAATTTTGATAATTGATGATTTGACTGACTTTTGATATTTGATATTTGATGATTTGATTTTGACTTTTGATATTTGATATTTGATGAATTTGACGAATTTGATGGCTTTGATATTTAATGATTTGACTTTTATTTGGTATTTGATGAATTTGATGAATTGATATTTGATATTTGATGAATTTGATAATTTGATTTTGATACTTAATATTTGATTATTTGATGATTTGATAATTTTGATATTTGATGAATTTGATGATTTGATTTTAATATTTGATTTTTGGTGATTTGATATTTAATGAATTTGATAATTTTGATATTTGATTATTTAACAATTTTTTTATGAATTTGATCATTTTGATCTTTGATGATTTTTTTTTATTTTATTAATTGTTATTATTATATTTTTTTTGAAGGATGTTGTGGGTGCATAACCTTAGAAGAGGGGGGAGGTCAAGGTTAACTCTTT